TCTGGTTACTGGGCTAGGTGTGTAGTCGCAGAGCGTAATCTTCAGCATCTTTTCTTCCATAGCGCTCTGAGTGACAAACAACTGATGTTCCTCTCCTTTCGTCGAGGAAAATGCTTCGCAGCCGTCCATCATTGACGCAAAACTCAACTGAGTTTGCTCTTGACTCGGAGGCCAGCAAAATGTGCAGATCGGTTCGTTTTACGAAGAAACTTTATTCACTCTGTGCAGGAGGATACCAAACACAGAAACGGATCCCAGATCCAAAGATCGTATCGTTTATAACTTGTTTCATTTTCCGTCACTGGCCTGTCTTTGCTACTGTTAAAGGGTATAACCTCGCCCTTTCAGACTGCGATGCCCTCCTCTGTATGTTTGCTTGCGGTTTGTCACCACAAGTCAGTATTTGTTTTTGTCTTTTAACTCGTTGGCCCGTATTAGCTGAATTCAGTTGGTTGCCAGTTTGTTAGGGCTGAAATCGAACTATCGTCTGTCAGCCATTCTTGTTGCTCTGCCTACTGGTTGTTTATTGGTTTTATAGACCACGATGCCTTTTATTTCTGTGTGTTTTCTTATTCGTTTATTCTGCGGCCTGTTCCTAACAGAAATTCAAGTATTTCTAACAATTCTCTGTTGTACTACCAGTTCGTCTTTCCTTATTACAGTCGAGTCTCGCTGCCATATATAGTTGTTTCCTAGTTACCCAGCTAGGTGTGCTCGTCATCTAGCTCTTCTACAGCTCTTACTGTAGCCGAACAACGTATTTGATTAGTCAGTTCATTGTCATAGGAAGCTAAAACATCTTCAACAACATGTCTATAAAATTCTAAAGCTCCAGCTTCGTTTCAGTTCTAAACGCTATCGGGGAGCAGTGGCACAGTAGGAAAAAAGGTCGACTTCGACCTCCGGGATTGTCAGGTTAAAATCCGGAAAAGGGGGAAACTGCGAACTCTCTTGAGCACGGAATTGGCTCGACGTTGATTCGTTGCAGCCGAGAAACGGGTAGCTGAACGGTTTCTTGCGAGCATCAGAAGCAACATGGTGTGTCATGCCAGAATGGGGATATTTGCGACTATCCTCTCTGATGCGAGCGCCTCATAGTGCTGCAGTGCGCCTTGACTCGTCTCATAACTGCTTCTTCAGTGTGACAACCAGCAGAAGACATATCCGCTGTTGTTGCTGATATCAATCGCTTCTTTATAGATAGCAAAATCATTCTGGGCAGAAGAGGTGTTGGAAGTGAAGATCGATTTTCCAGGGGAGAGTGCTCGAATAATCAAAAATGATTCATAAATTAAAAAGCAGGTATTTGTGTATCTCGTATGAGCGAAAAATTATATTCAGTAATCTCGTTTCCTGTGTATGTATTTTATTACGTCGCCTAGCGACGGAGCTGCGATATCTTTTCGTCTTTCACAAGCACTGGCAATAAGAAAAAGCGGCCAGAACGTTTCGTGGCTAGCTTAATCGCATTTTGTGGCGAAGCCTTTGAATGGGGTGAAAAACTGCAAAGTCGCCGATGACGTGATTCCAATGTTCTTCGGATCACCAGTCGATCAGATCCGGTCTAAGCGGCTTTTGATCATCTTAATGCGTAAGATTTTAGATTAGCTTTCGTACGGGATATGAAACACACTCATCTTATCTGTCGGGACGTAATTGTTTACGTCTAATTTGGTTATACTGTCGTTTGGAGTATTTACAATTTATAATTGATGAGATTAAACTAGTCATGCATTCATTATCATTTAATAGTGCCTTATATTATCGATCAAACCTATTGTGCTAAGTCGGCGGAACACGTTGTCTCATGCCTCTTCCTTTCTGTAAAGCACTGTCACAGTTCTACGAGGCGCCGTCCGTTATCGATCACAATTTCAATGGCATCTTGGAGCATATCGATTCAGTGTCAAATGGCCAGCAGTAAGTGTTTGATTTATGACCCTTGGAAAACCACGTCCTCTATGGCTTTTCTCACGCGTGGATCGAATCTCCAGAGACCGTCATGCTTCGGCGTTGAGGCTTTGATTGCTCACAGCTACTGTGAAGTGTATCGACGATGACCATTGAACTCTCTCAACTTTATCCACCCATTGTCTACAGATCTAACTACGGGTCGAGAATCGTAAACCTGAAGTGTTGCCGATACCATGGATATGGTCACAAATTTGTTGATGTACTTAAGGAGCCGAAATATGGAGATCTTCAGCTAGACCACATCAGAATTCGATTATTACGTATTAATTTTTCTGAGGATATGCGTCAAAAATGGCACTATTCCTACTAGTTTCGTCATCCAGAAGAAGCTTGTGAAGAACGAGATCGTGAAAATGTTTCGATCACGAAAGTACCATGACCGTTGTGTTTTTCACCTATGGAATGCGGCTGCTGAAAGGGTAGCTAACCAGGACTTTTCAGTTGATCAATATGAATATCACTCTAGATTATTAGAAAGTATTTAACGCCGTTCACACCTGTCAGTGAAGGAAGAAATTGGATCTGATTACACGCTCCACAGAAGTATTCGGATGTCGCAGGTGGCCACCGGAATTTTCGTGGCAGTCTCGTGTTGAATCAGAGCAACTTCGCAATTACCGTATCTGAACGAGACGTTCTTGCGCTGTGTCCCCGTTTCAGCACTGCTGACCCTACTGGCTCTATCTCGGACATTGTGGTTGATGTAGAATGCTTTTCTTCGCTCTAGTGAAAGGCGCAAAAGTCCCACAGAAAAAATTATCTCTAACGTATATATATACCCTCACATGACAATCTCCCAAATGCTGCTGCAGGTTCTAAGGAATTTGCAGAACAGTAAGGTCGTCGTACAAAAATGTATGAGATTTTAGTTAGATATGTGTTTGAATGACTCGTGGTTCAGGACACCAAATACAGCAGATGGTGCAACAGTTTATTGCCAACGTTTCTTTACGTAGACCGTACCATCCTCAGGGCTAGGCTAAGTACACATGATTGCTTGATGACAGATGTCCAACAAGCGAACAGTATTTTGCAATTATCTTAATCATAATCATTTTCTTTGACCGCTTCTCCTTTTGGGTCGCGGAGGTAGACGCGTTACACAGAGCTTCCAACCTCTCCGATCCTCTACCATAGTGTGAGCTCCGGCGGGAGACAACTGGATTCTGGAGCAGACTCTTTCCGTATATTTGCATCAGGTTAATCTTCGCCTTCCCCGGGGCCTTCTGCCAGTCAGTTTGGCCTTTCTTTCTTTAGGAGGCATTCGTACCAGGTGCCCAAACCATCGCAGCTGTGACTTCTCAATCTGAGGAAGAAACCGCTGTACACCAAGGCTCTCTTGGATGTCTGTATTCCGGACTGTATTGAGACACTATTTGACAGTTATTTTCTTCTTCATCTTCTATCGCTGCTTCTTCTTTCGGGTCGCGGAGCCGACGCCTTCCGCGATCCCGATCTGTGCCAGAGTCTGAGCTTCGGCAAAAGACAAATAGAGTCTGGAACAGACACCTTCCGTATATTTTTACCAGGTATTTACAATTAACATGTTCTTAAACTGACCAGCCAGAATGCTAACCAACAAGCGGTGTGAAATTTTCAATAAACCAATTAATTAACTAACTCAGATTAATCATATCAATTTTGCAATCATCTTGCAACTTTTGCTAATTACCACAGAAGATATGTATTCATTGCACATCCGGTTTTTCGTTGTCAGTATATGCAAGAATCTCCGTTATGAGCAGACCTACTTTAGATTGGTCATTGTCTATAATTGAATGAATATCCTTCTGTAATTGCATGTTGGGCAAAATCAGAATTGTCAGCCTGTCCAAGGCGGACCACAGAAAAGTGCTCTTTTATCCGGATGTTTGATTTCCATTTGTTTCGTTTTTCCAATGCACACCTTGTCGTAGTCTCTGCATTGGACTTTGTATACCACATTTGGCACATCTTCAGGAAGTCTTATTTACTTTTAAACTAGGATATAAACTATCTTATGTATACCATTTCAATATTTACAGGGTAGTTCGTTTTGTTGTTTAATTAAAATCATCAAGTTCTGCAGTCAGCTATGGAGGCGGCTGGAAATTGTCATTTGTCAGGCAAACACAATGCTGTTTTGCGAAGAATACGGCTTAAAGCGCTCTCGTTTAGGCTACAAACAAACAGTCAATCAAATTTACTTTAATGCACCTTAAAGAATACAAATGTTGCTGAAATATGGATGTAAGAAATGAACAAACACAAAGCATTGCGAGAATGGATTCGTATCAGACAGACCAGTGTCTCCTTGGACGATCAAGGCTGTGACAAACCAATTTTTTTAACCAAGGATGTTGTCGTGATCCCTGTGATGTAGCCAGGTTTAATGAGGAGAATGGCGCGAGTGTCGCCGAAAATCGGCATAGTGATAAACGCAAACTCCTTCAGCTCATGGAACTTCGCAAGGATGGTTAATGTAAATGTTAGGAATTATTACTGGAAAATATGGGCTTTCAGCCAGTGCTCTATTCGCAGCATTTTTTCTTCTACGTCTGATGTTTCGAATCCTTGCACAGTTTCTCATAACAGAAAGCATCAAGAAATCGAAGAATTGTCACTGCTGCAGCTGAATTCACACGACATTGACACTCATGGCTTCAGTATAATGAGAAACAGATACGTGTTGTTCGAGCCGGCATGGTGGCACTGGTAGGCATTCACCTTTTGCAGGTACTCGAACCCATAGACCCGGGTCCCCGTAGCGGAAGGGCGGTGCAGCGTGATGTAATGACTCGTATAAGTCCTTCCTTACAACAGTAGTGATGTAAGTTTTGTTGCTTGAAACCTGAGAGCATTGCTGTAATAGCAGCGATAGTGGGCAGTTGCTAGCACTGTTTTAATTGGATGAAGTCAGATGACATAGGTGACCAAATTTCCCAATTTTAGCACCAGCAGCATGTAACTTGCGGAAAATTTCATCGATCGCTTTTCACTGCTCACATTCAATGTTGAGTTACGGTGTAACGGCTTCAGGAGGTTTCTCCTGCCCTCACGGTCATCCTGAGCCGGATGAACTGGATTCAAGCGTTTTAGGGTGCTAGTTTTTTAATATGTTCGAGCCACCTTGCTCTCCTTCGTTCATGTCCACCGTTCATGTGACCTTACAACTAGAGTTTGGTTTGCGGATTTCTTCTCCGGCATCCGGATCAGGTGCCAAAACTTTACCAAATCTAACGCTTAGATTTGCAGAAGGAACAACTAGCTAACGATGGTATCTCGCATTTCCTTCTTCTGAAGTTTTTCCAACCTCGACACAGCAACAGTCCTTCTAAAAAGGCTAATTTTTCCCGCTTATGTCCTGGATAAAACTGTACATTATTCACTGTCGAACCTCATTTTCCTCGTCACAGCTTCAGCAGCTAATGTGCACACCATTTCCAATATTTTGCTGGAAATAATCTTCCATTTGGCAGCTTTGTTCAAGCTGAGTTAGCTTTGGATGTCAAGACAAGTGTTAATGGCAATCAGGGATTTAGCGCTTCTTTATGTAAGGCTCCCACAAACAAATGGGTTGACTGCTGTTGAAAGAATCTTTTATCTGTATCTATTATGGGTCTTTCTTCTGACTATCACTTGTGATTTCAGTGAAGAATTGTTATTAACCCCTTCGACCGAACCGCGGTAGTCAGGACTACCATTTGGTCTGGAGCGAGTAAGCTTCCTTACCTCACTAACTTTTGAGTTCTCATCTTGGTATTGAGCCTTTCTTTTCACATGGAAGAGCAGGTTTATTTTTAATAACTGCATGATAAATGCATGCAGTACGGCTTAAAATTTATTCCTCTTCTTTTTGGTTCACATGATTCTTATATAGATTTGTCTCGCTAGCTGTTTATGCCGAATCATTCCTATTGAAGAGTCCAACCGCCACCTCTTCAGTGAAAATTCGGAGTTAAACTATCTTCCGCGTTTTCTTCCTATTATCTACGTCCGTTAAGCGTTAAACCTACAGAATTTTGTACTTTCATGTTATATTTGCTACTTTAACCAGTTGTTTGACGTGTTTTCTCTTTCTCCTTCTGTCCTTCTCCGTTTATAATGATTTAGCGAAGCAGCTAGTTTCATTTTTGGTTATGTGTCTCAGGTATGTATGTTGAGTCAGGTTAGGTTAGCATATTAAACGCCTTTTTTATTGGCTGTTCGGTCTACATGATAGTATACCTGCCTTTGATTTGCAGGAGGACTTCGATGCGATTCGACCGTTATGCTACCCCGGTACAACTGTGTTTCTGCTGTGCTTCAGCGTGGTGTGTCCGGCGTCGTTTGCCAACCTGCAAAGGCGATGGCTGCCGGAAATAACTCAGAACTGTCCGAAAGTGCCGTTGATTTTGGTCGGGACCCAGTGCGACCGTCGAACCAACATGACCGTGCTTCTTGATCTAAGCAGCCGAAACGAGTCGCCAGTCAGTCAGCAGGAAATCAAGAGCATGGCGCGGAAGACGAACGCCCTTCAGTATATCGAGTGTTCGGCGTTGACACAGAAAAACCTGAAGGAAGTATTTGATGCCGCGCTGATGGCTGCCCTAAACATTACCACCGGCCCGGTACCGCCTCTGCACCACTTCCAGAATCTGCGACAGAAGGTGACTCGGGCCCTGAGTCTCGACTCGATCCATCACTCGAATCTACGGGTGCACAAAAACACCTCGTCGACTCACAGCGTTTTCAACGCAAAGTACTCCACCAGAAAGCTCTCGGTCGGTCATCTTATCACCGACGGAGGCAGCATGGAACACGACCTGCAGAAGAAGCACAAACTGAGGAGGGGATGGCGTCGAATGCTCTGCATGAGCTGAGTGTCTTCGCTCCCAGTCAGTTCCTCCGCCAGTTCATCAACCGACCAACCGCCGCTCTGCGTTATTAGCATTTGTTTTCCGCACAGACCTGACCAACTCTGTTGTCTAGGCAGCCAGTGACAGATATGGGTGTCAAGTCGATGGCCAGCTGCGGCACGGGTACCAGGTGGTCGTCGTTCAGTGTTGTGAAGTCCGTTGGTGGCGGCGGCGGCATCTCTCGTGCATGTACGTGAACGTGATGTGCAAAACGTTATGGTTTTTACATTTGTGTATGCCGTACTTTGTCGTTGATCAAATTCGAAATTATTATGCCATTCCGATATTAAAGTGGTGATTTCTGTGCACATTTTGGTTTGTAGGATATCGTCGAAGAGCTTCTGGTTTGTTCCGACATGCTTCGATTTAACAGACCGCCTTACTGTTTATGGATTTTGAACGAATTCAAAGTCGATTAAATTCAAGAACACAGAGAAGCAAGTAGGCAACCTGTTGTCTCAGTCATACATTGGAAGTTCCAAGTAGTACCTTGGATAGTGCTGAAATGCAGCAAGGAGCCTCTAAACTATGCTAGTTCGATCTTGAATATGGATGATGAATATACGCGGAATTAAAAAATTTCAAATATGGTCGATCCAGGGTGCATATGAGAATTTTAACGTTATGAACAGAACCCAGTC